AGGAGACCCTGGTTCAATTCCTGGTTTGGGAAGTTCCCCTGGAGAAGGGATAGCCTACCCACCCCTGTATTCTTGGGCTTCCCTGCTGGTGACTGAGTCGGTAAATGCAGCAATGCAGGAGACCTGGGTTCGATCCCTGGGTTGGGAATATCCCCTGGAGAAGGGCATGGCAATCCGTTCAAGTACTCTTGCCTGGAGAATCCCCATGGGCAGGAGCCTGGGGGATGACAGTCCATAGGGTCGCAGAGAGTCAGACTCGACTTAAGCAACTTAGCAAGCACACACGCGTCCTGACTGCATTGATGCATTAAGTGTTAGTACATTCCTTGTGACTGATAGGCTGCAGAGATGCATTAGGGAACTCAGTGAAAGCCAGAGGATGGAGTTTACACATCACTGGTGTTATCATTGGTTTGACAGAGAAGAAAGCTGAGATTTACAGAGGTTGGTAACCTGCCTTGGTCACATGCCGATAGATGGAGGAGAGGAGACGGGGTTCCATGCTTGTGTGAGTGGAACAGCATGCTCATATTAGGTCATTAAGCCAAGACTCCTGGGAGCATGTTGGTTTCAACAGCAGAGACAGGGAAATGGGGCAGAAGAGGAGAACGTAATTAGTATGTGCAAATTTGGAAACGTGGACGTTGGGCTTCTGGTGAGAACTGCTGCAGGCAGCAGTCTTTGCGGGGGCTGGGGAGGTAAGGCCTGGTGGTCTGCATTTGGAATCTTCACCTTGTGCAAGCAGAGAGTAAATAGTCTTCGAAGGAAGACACTATCAGGGACACAGCCGCAGAACACCCAAGGAGGAAGCCAAACCCACATTTCAAAGCTATTTTCAAGAAGTCTGCTGGTTTAGTTAGCCCAAAAATGTCTTAGTAATTCGAACTCTTCAAAGAGCATGTTATAAAAACAAAATTCATTTCCAGATGGTGGAATTTGAGGAGGAAAAGGATTTAAAGAAAAGAATCTTGAAGAGTTGAAGTCTTTATTCTTGGCAAAAGACACTCACATTTTTATTGGGGGAAACAAAGATGTTTTTGAATTACGGGATCACATAAAAGCATCTGAAAGCAGTAAACCTTCTTGTTATTTCCATCGTATCCCTCAGCAAGCTTAATTGTTTTCACATTTATGAACGATTTTAAATTGAAATGCGTTTTATCCCTGGCATTTTTCATCCCAGACATTCATTCTTGTTCATGTTGCCAAAGCGAGGAGATAATCTTGGGGAACATTTCTAATGTTTCCTACAAGATCATTTTGTCTTCTGCTATGGCTGTGGGTCTCCTGCCAAGTGAAACAAACTCTCTTACTAGGGAGGTGGTCTCAGAAAAAAAGGAAGGAAGTGGCTATTTGCTTAAAAATGAATTTTGTAAAAAAAAAAAAAAGGAAATTGATCAGAGATGTATGGGCGTAGTAAGTGCATGGAGAATTTCCTTTGTGAGGGGCCAGAAAGACCGAGTGGTTGGGAAGGGGATGGGGGACCGCAGAGGGGCTCTTCCTGTGACCTCGTCACCCTTGCTGGAGGACCCCAGCTCCAAGACCTGATGTGTGTGGTGAGGCTGCTGGGCTCCAGCTCAGGGTTTAGCAGGGATAGAAAGCCTGCAGGGAATGCAAATGTTTGTTTGACTGGTGGTTTAATTAACCATCAGTCTCCTCCCTCTCCATTTTCCCCTACCCCCCCAAGAAAACTACTTTTGTTTTTCAAAAACATTTTAGATATAGTAATTCTTTTCCTTAGAGTTTTTTCTGTTTTCCTGCTAGTGCCTGCCTTCTTCTAAAATATCCATATATGTTCATTTTTTTCTAAGGGATGCCAAAACAAATGTTACATAAATTAAAACTCCCCCTAGGAATTTTATTTACCACTACTGTCTCTAAGCTCCAGTGTATACTTATATACATGGACACATACATGCCCGCACATATACACACCAAACAATATGTATATGTTTATCCCCATGGTCTTAAAATATCTGAGAATATTAGTTTAGTCAGGTTCTTCCAACACTTCTCTGGAACTATTTTGAAATATAGCTGATGCCTTGAAACTGATTAACCCAAGGATGTTCAGATCTCCAGGCTTATCCTGCAACCCCTCTACCTTTGTTACATCAAAGTAGTGTCCTTAAACTTCTAGAGTTACCCAGCCAGGTCCAGTGGGGTTTTCAGGTAAAATGACCAATATAGGATGGACAGTGGGCAGCTTATATCCTTCAGAGCAAATTTCAAGACTCTCCCTGTGCGTCAGGCACTCTGCTTATGTTTCCTCACTTAACCCTCACAACAACCCTGTGAGGTCTGCATTATCAGATCTTTTTACCTGCAAGGAAATCAAGGCTTAGAAAAGTTGCGCTAGTTTGATCAGAGAGATGAAATTTCACATTGAAAGGAGGTTTACCCCTTCTTGACTAAGCCTTTACTCAAGAGAGCCTAGGACTCATAAGGTACCAATAAAGCAAAAACAAGCCATAATACCAAGTGCTGCCTAGGTCAATGAGAAAGATCGAGAAGGCTGTTTACGCCAAAAGGGGAGTCAGGGTTTCAGGTTTGTGTCGTGGATGCTGGATATACTGCACGCTGATGTTGGCGGGGGAAGGATGTGTATGATTTCTCCCAGTGATCTGCAGGTTTCTACAGAAACTGTGTCTTGCTACATCTGGTGAGGGAAGGCAAGATATCTGGTGAGGGATGTCTTACTGCTTCAAACAGCAGTGAAACAGACAGCAAGCTGTCCTGTTGCCTCAGGCAGTCATTTAGAACCCAATGAGGTGCTCTTTGTCTCTGAACCCAATTAAGTGAAGTCTGGACTTTTCCAGAGTATTGCAAAGTACTCAGGGACTGGGCTACTGAGCACCAATAACTCTTCCTAAAATTAAAAATATATATCCTTAAAAACCAATCATGCACTTACATGTCAAACATAAAATCTGCACTTAGATTCAGATCCTGCATTATAATCTAGGTGTATCATCTTGCTTTATATTTAAGGCTCAAGAACTTCAACTTTAAATTAGGAGACAAATGTAAGCAAAGAAAGCAATTCTCGTAACTTTGGAAGGGCTTAAGTACCCAGAAAGAATTGTCGTAGAGACCCCTAGCCATAGAGAGATGAACTAACATTCCCAGATTCAGAATACAAACTCACTACTTTGTGTGAGACTTTTCCCATCACCTTACTGTGAACCATGACTAGTCCTTCTGCCAGAAGAGTTATCTAGAGAGCTGATGGTCTCTCTGCTACCAAAAGTAGCTTGTGGGAAAGACTAGAAGAAATAGGTTGTAGAAACACTAAATCAAAGGTGTGGGCCATTGGGTGTTTCTTACCTGTTCCCTGGTAGCTCAGATGATAAAGAATCCGCCAGCAATGCAGGAGATCTGGGTTCGATCCCTGGGTTGGGAAGATCCCCTGGAGGAGGGCATGACAACCGCTTCAGTATTCTTGCCTGGGGAATCCCCATGGACAGAGGAACCTGGCGGGCTACAGTCCATGAGGTCACAAAGAGTTGGACATGACTAAGTGATTAAGTATGGCCTGCACAGCACCTGTTTGTTGCATTATATTGTTACAAGATTTTAGTTACTTTATGTTGTCTTTATTTTGTTAGTCTGTTTTTACTCCCATAGAATGAATGTATTCAGTTGACCTGCAAGGTAGCTGAAGGCACTTTATGTCTGAATATTCTATTTGAGGTTGAAGCAGGAGAAAGAGTTTGAGTAGAATTGATTGTTGAAGGGCCTTTTGGAATTCCCACTTTCCTCAAACAGAACATCCTTCTTCCTCAGCTGCCATTAACCTTTATTTAGAACAGAGTAAATCACTGAACTTAAAATTTATGTTATGCACTAAAGTCTGCTGGTAAACAACTTGTCTTTTCACCAAATACCATTATTCAAAGTGTGAATGCAGTGCCCTGGAACAATTTCGCATTCTTATTGATGGCCTTTCACTGACCCAGAGTCATCTGTGGGTTTTATTGTGTAACATGCTGTGGTTACTCAGCTCCCCTCTGCCTCACCAGTCGCTGCAAACTTCCCCAGTTTTTCTGAGGATCAAATAAATGGGTTAGATTATGAGTGTTGTTGCTGCTTTTTTCCCCCTTTTGTTCTTGGAAAAGACCTGTTCTTTAGGGATTTTAAGTGTTTCACAAATTCAGCTTTTTGCATTCTCTTTTAAGTTATGGTTTAAGTTGAGTTTAGGTTCTTTAAAGCTGGGTTGGAAGAAGGGAGGATGAGATGCTTGACATTGAAAATCTGGCACTCAGATCTTTGCATTCCTCCTCTTGTTGCTGAAATAAAGTGGGGAGCAGTGGTAGGGCAGGGGGTTCAGAAGAGAAGTTGGAGGAGTAGAAGCTTGGGTCCCAATAATGAGAGTTAATGGGACTGTCTGCCCACCTCACCTCCTGGCACATGTGGCAGACTCCTGCATTAGGTACCCAATGATCAGGGCATCTCCAGAAGCCCCAGCTTTGATCTGAGTAAGTGAAGTGTACATCTGGCCAAGAAGTCATTAAGAACTACGTGTCTGTTCTAATCTAGAGCTAGAGCAAAGGTAGGATCTGGCTCTAATGTATTGGCTTAGTGGTTCTAAGCCAAGCATTCCACAGCACAGCCCTGTGCATGTCAGATACTTAATTACTATCTGATTAAAACTCATTTAATGTTCTTATTACATGTAAGTAGAACACAAGGAAAGCTGCTTTGGTTAACTTTAGTTTCTCCTATTGACGAAGCATCAGCTTCATCCACCAACTCCATATATAGACCTGTAAATTTGAAATGCCTGCTGTTCCAAAGTCAGGTTTTTGTTTTAGGTTTTATATAATGCTTGGATTTATACTTTGAGAAAAAATGAGAAAATCTCCTCTAAAAAATTCATGGAAAATAATGTATGACTTTATTTGGAATTGACCAAATATGAAAGCGAGCTTGTCCTGTTGTTTTCCGCCGGAATACCTTTATGATGTTTTTGTCTTGTCTGCCCATGATCACAATTTCAGTGCAAACATACTTCTGGATGATCAGTTTCAACCCAAACTAACTGATTTTGCCATGGCCCACTTCCGACCTCACCTAGAACCTCAAAGCTCTGCCATAAGCATGACCAGCAGCAGCAGTAAGCATGTGTGGTACATGCCAGAAGAATATATCAGACAAGGCAAACTTTCCATTAAAACAGACGTCTACAGCTTTGGAATTGTAAGTACCAACTACCAGTTAATGAAGGAGAAGAGTTTACCACCAAGAATGCTCTAAATTCTAAGAAATGTTTTAAAGACTTTAACTTTTAGACCTATTGATTTCCTGTTACAGCATGTGTGGTACATGCCAGAAGAATATATCAGACAAGGCAAACTTTCCATTAAAACAGACGTCTACAGCTTTGGAATTGTAAGTACCAACTACCTGTTAATGAAGGAGAAGAGTTTACCACCAAGAATGCTCTAAATTCTAAGAAATGTTTTAAAGACTTTAACTTTTAGACCTATTGATTTCCTGTTACTCATTGTCTTATATCAAGACATTAATTTTATGTCATCAAACAGTAAAACATAAAGTGATTAATTAGAATGAACTATATTCAGTATTGAGGTTAGCTGAAAAAAGACTCATGTACCCAGAGCACTATTTATAACAGCTAGGACATGGAGGCAACCTCGATGTCCGTTGACAAATGAATGGATAAAGAAGTTGCGGTGCCTATGGAATGTTACTGTAATGGAACATTACTCAGCAATAAAAAAGAATATAGTTGAGTCAGTTCTAATGAGGTGGATGAACCTAGAGCCTATTGTACAGAGTGAAGTAAGTCAGAAAGAGAAAAACAAATATATATTAATGCATATATGTGAAATCCAGAAAGATGGTTCTGATGAACCTATTTTTAGGGCAGCGAAGGAGACACAGACATAGAGAACAGACTTTTGGACTCAGTGGGGGAAGGAAGGATGGGATGATTTATGAGAATAACGTTGAAACATACACATTACCATTTGTAAAATAGGTGTATATGTGTGTGTATGTTAGTCACTCAGTCGTGTCTGACTCTTTGTGACCCCATGGACTGTAGCCCGCCAGGCTTCTCTGTCCGTAGAATTCTCCAGGCAAGAATACTGGAGTGGGTTGCCATTCCCTTCTCCAGGATGCAAAATAGCCAGTGGGAATTTGGTGTATGATTCGGGGAACACAAATCCAATGCTCTGTGACCACCTAGAGGGGTGGGATGGGGTTGGAGGTGGGAGGGGGGTTCGAGAGGGAGAGCACTTACGTGTATCTACGGCTGATTCATATTGATATATGGCAGAAACCAACACAGTATTGTAAAGTAATTATCCCTCAAAACTTCGCTTTCACTTTTAAAAATATTTATAATATTTAATAATATTTATAATAACATAATAATTATTGTGCATATTATTAATATTATGTAGCTGACTTTCTGTATCTTCCCTGTAGGTAATAATGGAAGTTCTGACAGGTTGTAAAGTGGTGCTAGCTGAGCCAAAGCATATCCAGCTGGTAAGAGTTGCCTCCGCCTCTGCCCCTGCCTCTCGGTCACTCTTTGATCGGTTCTGAGTTCTAAACGATGAGCTTGTCCTCTTTTCTTCCTAGCGGGATCTTCTTGTCGAGCTGATGGAGAGAAGAGGCCTCGACTCATGTATCTCCTTTCTGGATAAGAAAGTGCCTCCCTGCCCACGGAACGTTTCCGCCAAGCTGTTCTCCTTGGCAGGTCTCTGTGCTGCAACACGGGCAAAATCAAGACCATCGATGGACGAAGTGCGTACACACGTGGTTTTGTTAGAAACAGTCTGTGGAGCCCTGGAAAATCTAAACTGGATAAACTGTGTATCTAAGTGAATATCAGCGTGACAAATGCAGCCCCCAACAGAGTCTTCTCACCTAACAGATAGCTTTTCGAAATCAGAAAGTTTGGTACTCTGAAAAGGGCATCATTGGATAGTACCAGGGCAACCACCAAAAAAAAACTTGATGAAAAGACATAAATGAGTAATTTGGAGAGAAGATTTTATTCACCATTCATTAAGAGATCTGGTCCAATAAAATGGGAATTCGCTGGTGGTTCAATGGTTAGGACTTAGGCACATTCACTGCCAGGGTCTAGGTTCAGTCCCTGGTTGGGGAGCTAAGATCCTACATGCCACATGGTGTGGCCAAAATTTTTTTTTTTAATGCAGCATGTATTTCTCTTGTTGAATTTTAAACTTATTTGTCTTCCCATCAATTTAATCATCTAGATATTTGTTTATAATAAACAAATATTTATTTAGTACCTACTTTCATGTGCCAGACTTTGGACTAGGTGCTGGTGTTGCAGCAGTGATCAGGATACTGAATTGCTGCTCTCAGATCACAGTTCAAATGGACAGTCAGACTGATAAACATGAAATTTCGATGCAAGAAGATAAGCATCATAATATATGAAAACACAGGCTAGTATGGGAGCATAGAGGCAGAATATTTGCCAGCAAGGAAGTTTCTTGATGGAGGTGATAACTGAGTTATAATCTGAAGAATAGGTTGGATTTAGGTGGCCTTAGGATGGAGGGATATTCCTGGCAGAGAGACTCTATGCCTGCAAAGGCTCAGAGGTGCAGTGGATTCCATGGCACCAAGACGGCAGATAATCTTGCATCCAGGGAAATGCTGCACTGTTTTAAAATAATAGGAGGTTCCAGGTGATCGAGGGACATGAATTCCATTCTAGGAATTTGGATTCCATCCTGAATCTGTTGTCGAGCCACGGAAAAGTTTTAAACAAGGAGTTGACATAATCAGAATATAAAGACCATTGGCCTGGGAATCAGGAGAGCTGTGTTCTAGACCTGACACCACCAGTAAGAGCTGTGTAACTAGCAGTTTTGAGCTCTGACTACATAGTGGAGAGAACATGAAATTGGGAGCCGGGAAACGTGGGGTTAAGCCACAGGTCTGCTCCTTACTGGCTTGTGATAGTGATTCCCTTTTCTGAAAGGCACTCAGCCTTATCATCTATAAAGTGAGGATAATAATGTTTGTGCAGATTAAATGAGATGGTGTGTGTGAAAACACTTTGTAAATTATAAAGCTCTTTATATGTATTTTTTAAATTACATGTATGTGTGAAGTGATGTGATTTTATATCAGGTTAATGGTTCTCAATTTAGCTGCACATCCAAATCAACTGGGAAGTTTTTAAAATACAGATTCCTGGGCTCCCACCTCCATAGTTTTTGAATGAGCCTCTTTAGGTCGGTCTAAGGAATCTTTAAGAGAGATTTTCAAGGTATTTTAAGAGAGCTTCCCTAGGTAGTTCTAGTATTTGAGAACTATGGATTGGGTTCACTGTTCCCTGACCCCTTCCAATCTTTCACATATTAAGGCTGAAGTGAAAAATAATCAGAGATTTGTCCAAGGTCACAAAGTAGTTAGTGGCGAATCTGGGCCTAAAGTCAGTTCTTTTGTTTTTTAAAAAAATTTGTATTTACTTAACTCGTTTATCATTGTTGGCTGCGCTGGGTCTTCATTTCTGCCCTTGGGCTTTCTCTAGTTTCAGCGAGCAGGGGCTCCTCTCTAGTTGCGATGCTTAGCTTTCTCATTGTGGTGGCCTCTCTCGTTGCAGAGCACGGGCTCTAGAGTGTGCAGGCTTCAGTAGTTGTGGTACCCAGGCTTAGTTGCCCTGCAGCATGTTACATCTTCCTGGACGAGGGATCAAACCCGTTTCCCCCTCACTGGCTGGCAGACTCCTAACCACTGGACCAGCAAGACACTCCAGATCTCTTGATGTTGAATTCAGTTCAGTGGCTTTTCTACTTTGCTTCAAGTCATTTAATGTAGTTATTAACATGAAGAATTTTAGCTAATCTTTAATTCCTTCTCACTTCAAATTCTATAAAGACAAAGTGTTAGTTGCTAAGTTGTATCCGACTCTTTGCAGTCCATGGGATTCTCCAGCCAAGAATACTGAAGTGAGTTGCCATGCCGTCCTCCAGGGGATCTTCCCAACTTAGGGATGAAATCCAGGCTTCCCACATTAATTAAACTTATTTCATGAAAAAAGAGAATGTTCCTTAATAGGCAGACAGAAAAAAAGGTTAAAGGAGAGGTTATTCAGACTTCATTCAGTGTGTGTTTGTTTCTTGGTTATTCAGGTCCTAAATATTCTTGAAAGTACTCAAGCCAGCTTGTATTTTGTGGAAGACCCTCCCACATCCCTCAAGTCCTTCAGAAGTCCTTCTCCTCTGTTCTTTGATAATGTGCCGAGCATCCCAGTGGAAGATGATGAAAACCAGAATAATCCATCGCCACCTCATGGTCAAAGTTTGAGAAAAGACAGAATGACTCAGAAGACTCCCTTTGAATGCAGCCAGTCTGAGGTCACATTCCTGGGCTTTGACAAAAAGACGGGGGGTGGGGGGAATGAGGACACTCCCAACGGGTCTGGGCCTCCTTGGGAGGAAAGCTGGTCTCCAAAGTGTGCAGCTCCATCCCCGGACTTGACGGCCCCCGGTGTGCATACGGACCCTTCTGCAGAAGCTCCAGGCCATTCCTATAGGAGCAGGCCAGTGGAGACCAGCTGTTCCTCCGTATTTTCCTGGAATGAATGCGAACAGTACAGAAAGGCATCAGTTTCTGCTGAGGATAAAGAAGAAAGCAAGAATTGCTGAGGCATTGAGTAAGGTCTCATCTGGGGAAGCCACTGTCTTCATCCTTAGTGCTGCAGGATAAGGGATGATACATGTGGCTGATGCCCATCAACAGTGTGACCGATCCCATTCCATTCCTTCCCTTCCAACTTGTAGAACAGAGTGGCTTAAAAGTTTGTTTTAGTAGGATCATTGCCTCATGAGCCAACCTGGGCTAAATTAAAACCATTCAGAATTACTTAAGACCGTGGACTCCGACTTCAGACAAACAGAGTGGTCAAAACCTGCTAGAAAGGAACTGGATTACAGTGTCTTCTCTGTCAACATCCATGTGGGTCCTCAGCGCCTCCGATCTGCCTCCAAGTATGTTCAGCTCAGTTGGATTCCATTGCTTTGGTTTAGCCTGCTTGCAGAGGTTGCAGGAAATGTCTAATTGCAAATGTTAATAGAAATCTTTTTAAAGAATTGCCTTTTTGCTTATTTCGATTGACTCTTAGTATGTTTCTTTCATCCCTGTCAAGTCTGCGTATGTGACGATGAACCAGTTTCGCCCTTGGTCATTACATGCCCAAGATCTGTATTTCTGTATTTAAACTCTTAGTTTATTCATTTCAATGTATGACAAAAACCACTGCAATGTTGTAAAGTAATTAGCCTCCAACTAATAAAAATAAATGAAAAAAATTAAAAAAATTAAAAAAAAAAAAAACATTTTGGAGCTATCCAGAGAAATTTGAGTATGGACTAGGTATTAGAAAAGTGAAAATTTAATCATATTGAAAGGTAAATAAAATGTTACTAGTGGTTAAAAAAAAGTTTATTTCATATAATATAGTTGTTGACTAGTATTATAATTTTTTACTACTTAGAGACTATTATATCCTGAGTAGACTATGACATTGTAATCAAATAATTCTTGTTCCGAAGAAACTGGCTGGTCATAAAGGCCTCAGTTAGCTTTTTGTCTGATTCCAACTCTATGCCTTTACTCCTAGTGTTTACTAGATCTCTCCCTTTTGAACTTCTAGCCAATCTTTCAGTTCCCACCATAATTGCCTCCTCCAGGAAGCTTTCCTAATCTTTCCAGCCAATATTGCTTACTTTATCAGCATTTCCATAGCAATTTCTCTTTTTTTTCCCCCATTTTTAAAGATTTTTTATTGAAGTATTGTTGATTTACAATGCTAGCTTCTGGTATACAGCAAAGTGATTCAGTTATATGTATCTATACACATATTCTTTTTCATATTCTTTCCCATTATGGTTTCCTGCAAGATATTGAATATGGTTCCCTGTGCCATATAGTAGGTGCGTGTCTGCTAAGTTGCTTCAGTCATGTCTGACTGTTCGTGACCGTATGGACCGTACCCCGCCAGGCTCCTCTGTCCATGGGATTCTCCAGGCAAGAATACTGGAGTGGGTTGCCATGCCCTCCGCCAGGGCTATATAGTAGGACCTTGTTGTTTATGTTTTATATATCATGGTTTATATCTACTAATCCTAAACTCCTAAACCTCCTTTCCTCTTTAATAATGATAAGTTTGTTTTCTGTGTCCTGAGTATGTTTATATCTTGTAAGTTTATTTGTATCATCTGTAGCAATTTCTTTGCCTTTCTGTTTTATACCTGTCACTTTCTGAATCATGTCAAAGTTACCTATATTATCTTCTCTCTCTTACTAGATAATAAACTCCCTGTATTAGTTTCCTACTGTCATCACAACAGTAGGTTACTGGGTTAAAACAACATTAATTGTTGCACAGCTCTGGAGGTCAGAAGTCCTTGGCATTCCTTCTGGAGGATCTAGGGGAGAGTTCATTCCTTTGCCTCTTCTAGCTTCAAAATGCAATTTGCATTCTTTGGTTCATGCCTTCTTCCTCCATCCTCAAAGCCAGTACTGTCACATCTGTAAGTCTAGATCTCTCTGTTTCTCTGAGCTCTTCTTCTTCACCTCTTTCTCTTACTTTGGCCCTCCAAAAGATCCTTGTGATTGCATTGGGCCCACTCAGCTAATCCAGGAAAATCTCTGTATCTTAAGATCCTTTGTTTAATCACACCTGCAGGGTCCTATTTCTCCTATAAAGTTGTGTATTCAGGATTAGGACACGGACATCTTTGGGACCATTACTGTGTTTATCACACTCCCTGACTGTGTAGGGTCCATCTCTTCTGGGCCTAGCATGTTATCCTATACAGAGCAGGTGTTTCCTTATAAGTTAAATTGAGTGACATTATCTCTCTGAACCCACATAATCAAAAATTCAGCTATAGTAGACATTCCTGAGTAAATTAACCAAGTAGGGATAATGACTGTCTTTATGATGATGGACAGAAACACTCATGAAAACCATTTCCAGAGGATTTACAGAATCTCCCTCTCCAGGATATTTACTATATAAGGGCAGAGCTCTAGTTTTCTCTGTATCAAGAGAATAGGCCCGTGTTTCTTTTTTGTTTTTTTTTTTCGGTGAATCAGTACAGTTGGGTTAATGATCGTCAGATTGGAGTCCAGATTCAAGAGCAATTATTCAAAGAAGGAAGTCATCAGAGATCAGGGTCAAATTAACAGACCAAGGTCCAAAACATGGAGCTATGGTTCTGGGAAAAAGGATCTTAGGGCAGGAAGTGAGGGTCAAAACACAATAAGCTGTAGCCTCATTGACAAGTCAAATAAAAGCCCCAGGCAAGCAGTTGGGAGAGGCCATCTCTGTATCAGGCTGGTCTGACACATCCTGACTGCCCATTGCTGACACATCCTGACTTCCCCATCTGAGCATGAAGTATGTGTTCATGGTGCCCCTATGCTGAGACTATCGGGGAAGGGGTTGCACTAGACTTCACTGATCTTACTTCTTGTGATGACCTGGCCTAGTTTGAAAACTCTTTTGATTATACCCAACTCTTGATTCCTTGTTAATCACAGGAAGCAGTGAAAGTCTTCGACATTTGGCTTTATAAATAGCTAGCCATTCTGAGGTCGATTTAGCTTGTCTCATGTAGGCTGAATGTATTTTGGCTGAATCGGGCAAATAAGCTTGGAATCGCATGAAGTTGCCACTGATAATTCAAACGAGGTAATCAAGATAATAAAGAACTGACTCTTTGTTAAACTGCTCTTCACTTTGAATCTGAATCCCCCAGTACCTTCAAAGAGAAATCATTAGGAAGTTCTGATTGACGCCAGGCCCACATCATTATTCAGCACATGTGTAATCTGTTGTTATGATGCTGATTGGAACTTGCTTAATTGACTTAAAGCAGCGTCTATCAAACTTTAGTGTGCAACAAAATGACATGGATGGCTTATTAAAAAACACAGATTGCTAGCTCCCAATCTATTGCATAACAGTTGGCTTAGCATTGAGTAGAAGGTCTAGAAATACTATTCATCAATAATGTTTTTACTAGATCCCCTTGCTTGGGTGTGACTCTTTTGGACATCTTAAAAACCAAGTCAGATTAACTGGCAAAAACCTCATTAACAATATGGTAAGCAGATACTACTGTGGTTAGAAATAACTTTCTATTGAGTGACCCAGTCCTCCTTACTAGATTTGCCTTCTAATGGGTTTGTTAATAGGTGTTAACTGATAGGAATTAAATCTCCCATCCTGCTATAGGCAATAAGAGGATACTTTAGTGGCCTCAGGATGTAAAGACTAAGACACATGAAGAAACCAAGAATGAATCCCTAAGTGTTTCCTATGATCAGTAAAGATAGATTAGCAAAGAATCTCACTCACCTTCATCTTTGTAATGTACCATGGGCTATCCTTCAGGTCGATCTTATTTACTTGAGAGATTTTTGTCCCATTTTATAGTCTCCAAAACATGAAGGCGTTTTGTTGTTTTTCAAGTTAGCGATGGGATTTCTGGCATCGTCAATTTCATTGGCTTCTGGAGAATTGCTGTAATGATCTGTGACCCACTGTGTCATTGTGGAGTTTCATGGGGTGGTAGAACAGCTTGTGTAAAACAGCTTTTATGACCTGAGATAGAGTGAGTCTAGGAAGTGAGAGTTACATGAGAAGCATTTATGAAGCATCTGCCAGAATCAAGGTACTGTGTTAACTACTGGAGTATCAGGTAAGGAGCAAACATTTTATTAAGGATGAAAAGGCATCTGCCCAAGTTAACGGTTCTATTACAACATCTGTTATTTGAACCACAAACTTTTGGAACCAAAAGTAAGGGCTAAAAGAGTAAGGAGGAGTCAGAGATTACTAGTACTGATGCCATCTTCAGCAGGCTTCCAGTGAGAAATCTGAAGCATCTACACATGCCTCACCACACCCTCACCCCACACTGGAACTGCCTGTTGACTTCTCTCTCCTCCATTAAACCGAAACTTCCCTGGGGGTAGAGGCTATATCCTGCTCTTTTTGGTATCCTTAATGGCTAGCATGGTACCTGACACATAATATGACCCACCAAATGAATGACTAAATCGAATAATCCTTCAAACCTCTTCAGTATCATTGATATCTAGTATCTCAACACTGTAATCTAGTTTGCACCCAAAGTCTGTCTTTCTAATATCTAGACTGTCATCAATGATTGGTTTAAATAGTTCCACTTCATCATTCTTGGTTGAAAGTCTAATTTCAAATATTAATATTTGAGGCATTGTTGAAAAGAAGAATTAAAAATTGTGTACACTCCTTATAAATTTGCCTCATGGTGGAAAACATTCCCAAATCATGTCTAGGCAATGATAAACCAACATTTTGAATTTTGACAGAGAAACTGATGTTTCTTGTATTTTGCTTCCATCTTTTTGTCCCAACTTATTTAGATATATTAATGGCCCATTGGGTTGCAAGTATTTTCTTGGGAAGCACTTTTATTCTGAAGATGCCTCCCAAACCTTCATTGCTCAGCAAACTTTCACTTAAGAACCTTCTTATTGATGTCATCTGCCTTACTGCAATTTTTTATGGTCATCTCTATAAATATAATAACGTGAATATCTCCAGTTTTTTCAGTGACTCCTTAATTTTGAAAGTTTCTTACAGACTGAAGTTAATTGGGATGGAGTGTAAGAAGGCAGTAAGGGTGTACTTGAAGGAAGGTCAGACTCAGTTAATTGGGTGTGCAAGCTGCAGTCACACATCATCTAAACTATTGGGCTGTGTTCTGTTACTATAAGATCAAGGAAAATGAGGTTCAAAGAAGCTGACTTTCATCCTAAGTAACACTAGTGATGGACTGGGGATACAAAGTGAAAATTATTTAAGCCCAGGACATATCTGCTCTGAAAAGGAATTACTTATATTAGAGAAATGCAAGTCAAAACTACAATGATATACCACCTCATACGAGTCAGAATGACTTACATCAAAAAATCCACAGACAGCAAGGGCTGAAGAGGGCGTGGAGGAAAGGGAACCCTCCTACACTGTTCGTGGGAGTGGAAATTGGTACAGCCTTTCTAGAAGACAGTATGTATCAGAACTTTAAATGGTTCTGTTTACCCATTGCTTTTACCCAGAAATTTGTTTAGGAATTCATCCTAATGAATAAAAACTTCAAAAGTGTGTAAACATGAGGGCAAATGGGTACTTTTTAATGTTTATGATATTAAAATACTGGAAACAGCGTACATATCCTTCAATAGAAGACAGATTAAATAAATCATAGCACAAGTCTATAATTGAGTTATACGCATCTGCCTGATTTAAAATTGTTTAGATCTATGTTTACTGCTATGGAAAATTTGTCCTTGAAATGTTAGTGAATGAAAAAGCAGACCACAGAATAGCATGTTTAATATGAGCCCATTTATAATACTAGATATTTTTAAATAATATATGTTTCATAGAGAAATCTTTGCTAAAAAGTTAGTAATGGTTTCTTTCTGGGCTGTGGTATTTGGGTGATCATTACTTTTGTTAGGCTTTTATGTATTTGAAATTTTTATAATGAGCATGTATCACTTTTATTATCAGAAAACAATAAAGCTATTTTTATTTTGGAGAAAATATTCTCTACATTTCTACCTTTGTCTGACTCTTTGCTCAGCTGTGTCCTTGATAACAACTGGCAACTGGTAATCTTGCTTTTATTCCAATGCCCTTTATTTTTTTTGTCTTCCAACCTTCATGATATGGACACTTCCATACAGATTTGTCTGGTATCCTCGGAGTAACAAGTTTTTAGAGGCAAAAGGCAGCCCAAGAAGCGAAATTCAGATGA